TAACTTTAGGCCTGTTCTGTACAGAAGGTATATGGATGACACTTTTATTCTTTTTAATAACAGTGATCAATGCTCAAAATTTTTAGAATACCTTAACGCACAACATCCTGCCATTAAATTTACATGTGAAGTTGAAAATAATAATAATTTACCTTTTTTAGACATGCTCATTAACCGTAATGCTAATGGATTTTCCACATCAATTTAGCAAAAAAAGACGTCCACTGGTCTCCTTACACACTTTGATACCTTTATCCCGTTTACGTATAAACGAAACCTTGTTACATGCTTACTAAACAGAGCTTACAACCTGTGCTCCACATATCTTAATCTACACTCTGAAATTTCGTTCTTACATGACACCCAGAAATGCAACTGCTATCCACAACACTTATTAGAAAACATTACCAACACCTTCTTGCTGTAGTTTCTCCCCATGATTACTGTTTAGTGTTTTATTTGTTTAATTATCATTATATTTAGCAACTGTACTTTGACAATGTATAAAGACTTATGTAAATTCATTTTATTCTGCTTTAGATACTGAAGATGGAATCTGATATAATTCCGAAACGTTTATCCATGTCCCCTTTTTGCCAATAAACAATGTTGTATATCATAAGTGTCATAATTTTGTTTATTAATTGTTAAATAGACTGTACTGATCATAATTATGGAAACACACAAGTAATACACATAAAAAAGTCACAAACAACAAGTAATTGCAAACAGATGATAAATTTATTAATAATACAAATATTATCACAGAAAAGAAAAATGACAAGTTATATAATGTACTGGTATTTTATATGTGAGCCCTTTGATTTACACAGAACAGTAAACCTTGTGTTCATGCTGCTGCATAGTTTACTAATGTACTATTGTGGAATATTGTTCCAGTGTTCTGTATCATTTCTCATAATTTAGTCAATGTGTTGATCACCATTTGGACTTCTCAGTTTTTACATAAGCCAATACAGATTCAAAAATGCTCATACTGGGTATCAGAGCATGGTTTTTAGTGTTTCATTGGTTTCTTTATTATCCAGATATAATTTCATCACACTTCTTGTATGCTTGGGATTACTTTCTTACTGGAGAACGAATCTCTGTCCAATGAGTCATGTTTGTGAGTGAATAGCATAGTGGATTAGAAGCAGCCTGTACTTGTCAGTAGTGAAAGTGCCACCAATTTTGTTATATCCCACCATGCTTCACTGCAGATGTTTTATATTGATTATGATACCTGTCTCTTTTCCACCATTGAATTAACTGTCATTGATTGTTGCCAAACAATTCAAATTTAGATTAATCTGTTTTGCTGAAATACCCATCTTAACTTTATGATCTGGCTATCTCTTCTCAACAGCAATTTTCAAGCAGCTATACATCCATTAACATCACTTCATTGTAATGTGTATCTAATGTTCTCAAGGTAACATTTACATCTGTACTTACAGCAAGGTCATTGGTAAGATCTGTACTCAACCACTTTCTTAAAGAACATACCATGAAATACTTGACATGACTTTGGGAGAGTTTTAATTTTTACTTCAACTACTTCTATTATTAATACTCCCAGTATCACATACTGTTTTTAGTGTCTTACTTGCAGCTCCTTCTGAAAATTGCAGTTTTGCAAAGTTATTAGCATGGAGTTTACTAAACCAACAAAAGCTTTGATTTCTACACGCTTGTCAAACGATATTTAAGTCTTGGGAACCATGATTGAATTTACACTACTGTTAGTACTATTGTGCATAGTGTGACTGCCTGTACTTTCTTGTGCTTTATTCTAGTGTGTCACTTTCTTATTGATAGGATGACAACCAGTCACAATGTAAACTACTAATACGTGACTGAATTCTAGTACAGTTCATCTTTACACAACAGAGGGATGGCATTACAATAATATTTGTATTTTATACCCTTTTTTTATCACCACTTCCATAATTATTTCCAATGCTGTAAAAGTAAATACAGGAGCATTAATCATTGATCATTAGTAAATAAACTTCTTAATATTTGCTGAAAAGCTATTATTGTTCTATAAAACTCATGACGAAAACCCATTATTAAAGCTTTAAACAGTGTCTCAACCATAAATTGGAAAAACAAATCACATATGTATCTATTCAGTAACTGTACATTCTAATAATTTATGGGTGAAGGTAAAGAAGATTATATGACAAGATGTCAATTGCACTAAATTTGCTATATTGAGTGCTGGTGAGGCCTTTTCTCCAAATGATTATGCATAAATCTTCTTTTATGATTTTTTTCCCTTTAAAAAATATCATCAAGCCAGGCATTGATTTTATAATTGTATTAAATTTGAAATTTAGTTCCAATAGTCAGGTATCTTGTAAAAAAGTCTTTATTTTCATCAAATGAGGTTTTGATTGTCTTCACAAAATGTATTTCAACAGATGTACGAAGTTACCTAACTAGAAGAAAAATTCAACCACTCGTTGCAGAACGAAGAAAACAACTAGAAGGTACAACCCCAGTGTTGTTCTTATAGTAGACATTTTTTATTACTATGGCTGCATAAATTAAATGAATACATTAACTGTGAACATTTTACTTTGTAAATATTAAGTTCAATATCTAAATACATAATAAGATGTGTGTGTGTGTGTGTGTCACATAACTCCTATGGTCTTACCAATTTCTAGGTGATATCAAACAAATCGTCTTGGTCTAGAGGTTTACACAAAAGTAAAAATTTTCAACCCACCCCTTGGGAAAACTGGAGGTTTCCTGAAAACCACTTCATCTAAACTGCTGGACTCACCAACTTCTAAATGGTGCCAAACAAATTGTCTTGGCCCCCGAGATTTCTACAAAAGTAAAACTTTTCACCCAACCCCTTATGGAACCCGGGTATTTCACAAAAACACTTTTATGGGAATTCCTCGAAAGCAGATTCCAGATTGGGCATTGATTTACATTAGAACATGCAAATAAGTAGGCCTATTAATTACCATTTGTAACTTAGTTAAAGAAATTAAATTTCCATTATATCAGCAATGATCATTAAACTGAAAAAGTGTATAATAGTTGTTCGAGATTGTCTGTGTGTGTCACATAACTCCTCCTAAATGGCTAGTTGCACTGACTTTTAAATAATGTCAAATGAATTGTCTTGATCCCAAGGTTTGCACAAAGGCAAAATGTTTAACCTCACCTCTTGGAGAACCCAGGGATTTCCTGAAAACCCCTTCTCCTAAACTGCTGGACTCACCAACTTTGAAATGGTGCCAAACGAATTGTCCCAGCCCTGAGGTTTGCACAAAGATAAAACTTTTCACCCAACCCTTTAGGGAACCCAGATATTTCATGAAAATACTATTATGGGGATTCCCTGAAACAGACCCCAAATTTGGTATTGATTTACATTAGAGCATGTAAATAAATAGGTCTATCAATTACCAATCGTAACTTGGTTATAGAAATTAAATTTGCCTTAAACCAGCAATAATCATTAAACTGTAAAAGTCCAAAATATTAGTTCAAGCATTAAAGTTGCATTATAGCAGCCCGGTAAATGTGGATCATAGGCCCACAAGTTTTATAGAAGACTTGTTATAAAACCCTCACCTGGTGGTTATTTCATGCAGTAATAATATATCCCTAATTTTATATTGATCACTGTCTAATACAGGGGTTCACAAACTAAGAGTTGTGGGAAAATGTCAAGGGTTCCATAGCAGATACACAATACTATGAAGGTACTCAGTATTTATAGATTTGTTAGGCAGGAGACCTCAATCAGGATGTTCTGGGAGAGGGGACCTTGTGGTGGGAAACTTTAGGAACCCCCAATCTAATGTATTCATACACTTTTATTTTGTTCTGAGTAACAAACTAACTGTACAGTTTCACCAAACAGAGTAGTAAAGTTATCAGTAGAACTCAGTTTTATGTTTGAGTTTTGTGTTATTTTGATATTCCATATTATCTGTTAATATAGTTTATATAATATGAATTTTATGACTACTTAGATTATTTGTTAAACTTACTAAATGTTATCTCTCTTTTTTACAGTTATTTTATGTTTGTTGGTTTAAGGTAATGCAATATAGCATTCATTATTGACTTACCATATCATAATGTCTTTAAATAGAGAGACAGCAAACTGAGGAAGATAGAGCAGCAGTGAAGATTCAAGCTACATGGCGGAATTGGCATGGGAACAGTAATGTATCGGAAAGGATTCAGTTAGCCAGAGCTCGACATGCTAGTCAACTTGTTCACATGTCTCAACAGGTACAGATTTTTATTATTGACTTAAACAGATACAAGTAGTTTTAATCAGCAGATACTGATTTTTGTTCTTACCAGGTTTGGTATTGTAGTATGCAAGCAATCTGTATATTTTCTACATTATTTTATTAATATAGGAATTTAAAAACATTTCTCATGTAGTCTGATTCTTTGCAATTTTCACATAAACAAGTGGTTTAAAACACCATTTAGTTGTTTTTGCTATAGTTACCTTAGTTTCTTTGTTTTTCTCTGGCAGATAGTATCTACTTTGTCTATGGGGATATTGCTGCAACATCACAGATTGTGCAGATTAAGTCAGTAACAGCAATGTCCTTCACTGGCTGAGTAGGTGATATCTAGAGGTTACGGTCTTCACTGTGTTGTATGATAATGACCAGTCACTTGGTAATGCACATCATTATGGGTAAATCCGATGTTTCCTATTAGTACAGAGAATTGGATTCACAACAGATTCTACATGATCAACACAATGAATAAGTCAACAGAAAGACATCTTATGGGGGAAAAAAAGATGTTGACTGATTTAAAGATCCTGCAGAATGAGAATGTCCAGTGTCTACACAAGTACACACACATTATGTTTTTCCTTTGTGTTTCACTTTGCACCACTTTTCCTCTTTGTTTCTTTTCTTGGCATAAACTTAGTTCTTTATTTTAACTCAAATACTTTAAACTTTTCCTGATTTTTCCTCCCATTATAAAGTGAACCTATCTAACACTTGTGCAGAAGTTAGTTTCATCTGAGAATACCACACTATAACTTATTCAGTTGAAGATATAGGCATTTCTAGTGATGAGTATGAGGATTAATTGTTGATTTTTTCATGGCTTTTATTGTTATTCAAATTTCTATAGGCTAAAGCTACTCATGGCTTTTTTTGCACATGTCTTGAATGGTAGGTGCAACAATATAACCAAGATGTCCAGAAACACCTCAGAAGAAACAGGCCACCCACCAGTCCAGAGGTCATTCAGCCTGTTCCTGCTCAGTTCATTCTACCTCATAAATTGGACAGCAGACCTAAGACTTCTGTTAATGGCAGGCCTCACAAACTGCCACTCGTTCTAAACAGTTGTGAAGAAAACAGTGGTTATAAGAGCCCAGCCCAAAGGACAGATGATGAGGTAGTTTCTTCTAATATATAGAAATACATATATATAATGCTATCAATGTAAAGGTTGTACTAGGTTCTGAAGAATATATCTTTAAATGTAAGATCAATGAGGTGTAACCTTAAATTTTTTTTTCATTTTGAAATTATAGACTTTTCCATGTGGAAAATATGGTGTTCACTGAAAAATTTATATTTTTCTGTATATCTTATCTTACATTTCTGACATACTGTAACTGATTAAATCAAATCTGTAATGTATCTTTCATTTTCAAACAAAAAATATTAACTTGTATGTGCAGTTTAAATCTATTTAATTTACTTTGGTAACAAAATATACCTGAGCAACTGTACTTAAGAAAGAGAGGAGAATTAAATTGTTTCTTCTGATGTATATGTCCTTTGATGTTTAAGTTGGTTTTGCCAACTATAGCCTTTACAGAAACAAGAAAAATGTAGTTTTAGAGAATGAGTGAGTTAAAAATATTTGTGTTTTGTTGAATATTGCATACCAATAATAAGACTAATTTTGAACTTTCAAAGTTTTAAATACTAACCCATCCTTTTTTATCTCTAGAGAATTATCATAATTATCTAATCATCAGTTAATTACTGACATACATAAAATGTTGAAACATCCTGTGTTTTTCATAAGACTAACTAAAATATGTACCTTTAATAAATTCTGTGTAAATCTATAAACATCTCTGGTATTTTTTATTTTAAAAAAAAGCTAGTAAAGGCTTAGTTTTGGGACTAAGTTAAAGTTCTGATGTACTCTAAACAACTGCTTTTATATGATGCTGCACTGAAAAAATAAAAATATTGTAATTAGATGGTTTTGTTTTTACATCAGATTGCGACACCAAGTTCTTCATCTATCTTCAGTTCTTTGGCTGATGGGTATCCAGATAATATAACCCAGTTTTACAGTAGCAGGTATGAAAAGCAAATTATACTAGGTGTGATGTAATCTGTTACGGCTATAATTTTTTAATATGTTAGAAAGTAAGTTGATTTTTAAATTATTTTACTTCTTAGGGATATTTAATCTATTTTAAAATGTTATTAGTAAATGTGTATGAAGCTTTCACTTAAGATTTAGCTTTTAAATACATTTCAATTATGCATTATAAAAATTGTAGCTGGTTATGGAAAGTAATTATATTTTGTAAATACTTAGTGTGTCATTCTAATAGTCAGTTTAGTAGCCTTTAAAATTAGTGTCTTAAAAATATTGATTGACTCATTAATATTGTTTTTTTTTATTGTTATATCGCAGTTGTATGATTTTGTACTCCTGTATAGTACTAATGTTGTTTGTTCAGATCTTTCATTTTAGTATTGTATGTCTTAGTAAGCTATGAAGATTCAGTTTTATATAGTAGTGTGGTTATTTTGATGTTTTTGCATGCTGCACTAACAGTAATGATGAACAGAGTGAGATCATTTCTTCTGATGAGCCTTGGGATGCACCTCTACGGAATTATGAGGCCAAGATTAAGCCTAATGTGTTAGTATATTGTTGGGTTAGCAGCATAAGTAAAATACTGTTATAGATACTAATTTCTTTAATAGTTTCTTTTTCCCTTTTTTTTACTAGCACATTGTAAAACAAATTTTTAAAGTTTAAAGTGTTCTTTCAGTTCTTAAAAAAGTTCATTCTGTTTTAACTTGTAAAAGTTCACTGACAATGCTAACTATGTTTTTAAAATCAACACAATGTCATATTAAAAGTAATTTCATTACCATTGTTGTCTTCATGCACAAAAACATTATTAAAAATGTAAGCCAAATCTTTACATTCTTGGGTTAGTTTTGATTACCATCCAGTTGTAGCATCAACGAAATCTTAGTTTGAAAACTTTAGTATTGTTATTTCTTTTGTTTTACTGAACATTTAAGATGTTTTGTTTCTATTAAAATTACTTGGCAAGTAAAATATAATCTCATAGCTAAAAAAAAATTATTCATATAAACAGACATATGAATAAACATAGGTATTAAAAATTCTTGTTGTAAAATTCCGTAAGTAATTTTATGAAAGGACTTGCTGATTTCACTTCATATAAAACATTTATCTTAGTGGTAGTAAAAAAATTGCTAATGCTTTATTTTGTTAATTTGCAAACAGAACCAAACAGGAGACAGAACTTGATGTTAAGGGGATGGTAAGGAGTAGTCTAAAATCACAACTCTGGGAGAACAGAGAGAGAGAGAACCAACTTCTAGGAAAGTGGATGGGTCTTTTGAACCAAAGTACTGGTGATAATGGTAAAGAAAAATAATTTAATTTGTAACTCTAAGCAAGAAAAGACACATTTGAAATGAATAATGGATTTTAGATTTTTCTTTAAAATTTCTGACACTTCAGTATTTGAGATATTTTCTTTTGTTTAGTCCAACACATGTTTGTGCCACAAAATAAAAATTCTGTAACTTTCAATATATTGTCATTTTATACAGTCTTATTTAACTTTTAATTGTTCCTGGAAATTAATTTTCAAAGTTTGTAAAATTAGCTACAGAATATTTAAATCACCATTAAATAATCGTAACATATATCCAGTGTGTAACTGCAGATCGTAAAAACAAAATCTTAGAAGGTTATATAAATGTGTGGCCCTTGTGAAGATTGAGCTTCAAGTAACATTTATTCTTTTTTTTTCATAATTGCAAAAAGGGTTAGAAGAATTGTACAGAAGTAAGCATTCATATCCTTTGTTAGTTTTTTATATTGAAGTTAGTAATGTGTACTTTATCAGAGAGTTTTCAGAACACTTTTAAAAATTTAAAAACTACCTAATAAAAAGAGTGCATATTAATAGTTCTCAAGAAATACAGATTTGCTTATTTGTAAAACATTGATAGTGTACAATATAATGTGTATACTTAGTATTTAAACACCCTAAGAATTTGCAGTTTTATGCAGCTGATGACAAGCAATGGTTAAAACATTACTGTGGTGTCAATTTTTTTACCCCAAAAAAATATAATGACTCTAAATAAAAGCACAGAGCTACAGCTTTTGAGTGGATTAGTTATTTTTATTGTTTGTTTAACTTTATTACAACGTTTGGACCACTTGTATGACCATCATCAATAATTTGTTTGTTTGTAATTAAGCACAAAGCTACACAATTGGCTATCTTTGCTCTGCCTACCACAGGTATCGAAACCCGGATTCTAGTATTGTAAGTCTGCAGACATATTGCTGTGCCACTATTGGGCATCATCAGTAGACAACAGTTACCTGATGATGGCCACACAAGTGATCCAAACGTTGTAATTAAGTTAAACAAACAATACAAATAAATAATCCACTCAAAAGCTGTATCTCTGGACTCGTATCTAAAGTGTATAGTGAAATTTCTCTCCTTACAACAAATATAATTACTTGTTTAAATTATAAACAGCCCAGAAAATGTAAGAGGAACTTTAGTTAACTGTTTAAACACAGTCATTATTTTTGTCTGAATTTCACACTTTTAGTGTTGTGCATGCTTTCACATGGCTGATTTATGTATTCATGATTAACTTAATTTTTTTTGTTATTAACTGCTTTATATTAAATTTACTGGATATGAGATAGCAGCTCTGAGCTTTAATGTTTGTATGTAGAAAATAATAAATATTAAGCAACCTAATCAACTTTCTAGCTCAATAGTTAATAAGTATTTTTGTTGTTGTTATTTTTTGTAAGGAACAAATGGAAGTCAATCTCCACCTCCTAAACAACTCTGCCCAGCTTTTCAATCTGACACATCAGCTGAATCATGTAATGGTAAAAGGCCAACTATGGTGGAAATAGAGTCCTGGTGGCAAAAGGGTGAAGAGAAGAAAATGTAAGGATTACTTGGTATTCTTTTCGTTGTATCTCTCCGACATTTTGGAGAAATTTTGTGACTGTACTTAACAGCTTAACTTTTCATTTCATACTTTATGGTACTAAAATTGTTGAGATACTGAAAAAAAACAGAATAAGTACAACTGTAATCCAAGTAACATAAACATGGGATTGTATGCTTAACCACACATAAGCATCATCTCATTTCTTTTCTTCAGACTACAAGGCTTACAGGGGTGAAACATACAAAACATTTTTGGGAGTCTTAAAAAAATGTATTAGTTGTACTTATTTGTGTCAGTTTCTTTTCATTAGGCCCTCCATCCAGTTAAGCCATATTTAGATATTTCATTTGTCTGACAGAAGTGTTAAAATTTAATCATTACCCATTCTTCTTTTATTTTACATCCTGCTAATTATATTTAGTATTGTATTAATAAATAAACTTAATATTCCGAACATTGTTTAATCTCGAAGTCTAAGTTCAAGGGGGGTCCAGTTCAATCTACATTTTGATTAATGTGTGTTATTGGGTTATACTAGTTTTGGAGAATTCCACTCCTCATCAGTAACCCTGAACACAAGCTAACCAAAGAGAGATAAGCTGGACCTATATCATATTTGAAAAGTATCAAACATACTGTTGGTGTGAACGTGCTTTAAAGTCACCATGAGAAAAACCTATACACTGGATAGGTGAAGTGAAGAAGAAGTGTCATTGGCCACTATTCAGCTTTTTACATTATATAGCCACACAATAGCAGGTATAATAAATAAATAAATATTCTCTCGAAATTAGACTTTGAGATTAAACAATTTTCGGAATACTATGTTTGGAGAATAAATACTGAGTATAAATCCGAATTTATTACATGTATCTACACAAGTTGTGGCAAACTTTTAGTAAAATGGACAATTTCAATACAATACATTACCACTTCTCACATAATAACTTTTGTTGACTCTCTCTGTACTGTAGAGCAGTATCATAACTTTTGTAAATTTGCCATTCCAGTGTGCAATTGTGCTCAATTTATGCTTTGTACTTACAATTCTTGTATGCACTGTGTTTTGACAACTTTTAATTTGTTGTCATTTATTTGCTGCTTATTTGGTGTTTGTGGAATATTTTTCTTTTCATTTCCACATAATGAACTCTCACTTTAATGTTACTACAATGACTTCTGCTATGGATCTGGCCATTACTGATCCACCACCACTTACTACTTCTGTGGCTTTGGGCTCCATACTTTCAGCTGAGGTTTTGGCCATGGTTCATTGTTAGTTAAAACTATCTTGTGGCCTGCTATGTCTCCAGGACCTCATCCAGATCTCCCTTTTCTGGGGAATCTGGTCCTAACAAAGGGATTTGGACAGCTTTTCCCACCTCCGGTCTTTGCTGCTCCATCCCATCTTACCCCTCTGGATTTTCCTTCTCCTTCATTGACTTTTTGGACATGATTTCCCACGTATATTACCTGTTCTCTCTTAACCCTGTGTCTTATGATTCTTTCTCCTCCCTCCTTCATTCTGCACCATCATTGGATTATTTGCCCCCCCCCTCCCCGATATTCGTGTACATGCTGAACAGTTTATTGCCCAATTACGTTAAGGTTTCAGCATGCCTCGACCCCCATGTTTGTCTGACTCCTATGCCTAGGCTTATCATAGGTTGAAATTTCCATTTTTAAATTCTTGGACCTTGGAATCATTGATTCAGGCATGGGGCTTCAACCTTAAACCTACACTATCATTTTTCCCAGCTCAGTTTTTCTGTCTTTGTCTCACCCTCACCACTATCTTCTATTATCTTTCTTCTATCCACCTCCTTTCCGAGGCTATCCAACATTCCCCTGAGGGGCTTTTTTGGTGAATACAGATGCCCTTCTTTTTTTCCACATTAGTATGCTTATCTTCCTCAGCTTTGTCTCTTCATACATGGCTCCTTTGTTGTTGGGATCTCCTTGGCATGGATACCCTCTTATGTCACATGGATATACCTGCTTCTTATTTGCAAAACCTCCACCTGGCCCCTTTTTTTCTGACAGTCTAATTTTGTGAATCTTCTTGATACTTTGGAATCTCAGGTGGAGGCTGCACGTCAACATTCCCTCCTTTCTTCCCTTGTTTTTCGTACCTCTCAAACCTCTCCTACCCCTGTTCCTGTGTCCTGCCCCTGCATCCTCCTCACTACTGGTGCCACCTTCCTGGGTTTCTGCAATGAGTTACCAAATTCCCCATCATAGTGTTTTCTGATGCCAGTTTTGTGAGTGACTATCCCATGGGTGCATGGTTAGTCAGATTTGTGTCAGTTCATAAATAAAGCCTGCACCGGACTGTACCAACTCATGGACTATCTGAGTAAAGCAGTGTCAGGATCACTGCCCATCCCTCCAGTCCTAGTTGAATGCACTGGGACTGACCTGCTTTTCAAAATAAGGATTTTGTTGTCACTCATTGCACTGTCTTACAGTATTACATTTCTCTGGACTCCCCACCATGCTGTCCCTACCTCCCAGTGGAGTATGAGAGTCCTTGCCACTTACCAGTTCTTAACCACTGGGGTGGTGAACCATAGAGACTTCCTTCTCAGTTGAGAGTAGGGTGGTGGTGCTTAGATTGGACGTGTATTTTTTCCACCCAATTTAGTGACACAAATCTTTACAATGAGCAAAGTGTATACCAGGTACAGATGAGGTGCAGTCTCCCACTGGTTGGACCCTAGGGTATCACATTCCATGTGTTCTCATGAGCACCTTCAGTGTGAGATTCTAGCTATTATGTGAGAAGAGGTAAGGTATTGTATTGGAAGTTAACATTTTCCTACACTGAGAATATATTTCCGATAAATACTTACCTCTTCTCACACTTCCCACATGTCATCCTCACTTCTGGTGTGGCTTTTATGCCTAATCTCGATGATAGTGTTTCACAGTTTAAAGGGAGTCAGCTGTGCCAGGAAGGTGTGTCACACTCTTATTGGTGAAGGGTTGTTGCATGCTCATTTGCATACTACAACACAGCTATGCCATGGGAAATTATGTGACGGTAGGTGAGAGCATCAAGGCTAGTGGCGAGCAAAAATTGCACATAAAGAGGGCAGTACAAGTTGAAAAAGCTATTATGTGAGAGGAGGAAATTATCTATTGGAAGTACATTTTTAGTGTACGAAAATATTAACATTTGTTGTATCCAAAAAATCAGATGACTTACAAAAGTATTTGCACTCAACATATGACAATGAATTGATGACATCAGTCTGACTCATACTCTGACAAGTTGGAGTGCAAGGTGATGTTCTCATGAGGAATAAAAATACTTTTGTCTTTTGTACAGTTTGCGTACCTATAGTTTTCATCAGTATCCCTATATATTGTATGTGTTATGTACTCTCCTCTAAACACGAACTGTTTCTAAATCAGCAATGTAGAATAAAATGAATAGTTGATAGCTCTGATATAGAATACATAATACCATGTTGAATGGCAGTCTGTAAAAGGTCATGGCTTGTGCACTTTGACCTCTACCCATGTACACAGTGTTAACAATGTTCATTTAATAGGTTGTCAGACATTTGAGTTCCATTTGAAATTTTTTTACATGTTTAAAAAAACCTTATACTTTTACTATTTGCCTGATTAATGGTCTTTAAAAAGTGTTTTTAATTATTTGTTTATAAACTATTATTCGAGAAATTTTTGAGCTAAAAGCTCCAAAAATAGAATGGCTTTTTGAAAGTTATAAATTTCTTTTGAATATTCAAAAAAGTTTGCTTTTAGAAATGCAAGTGAAACCTAGAGGCTGATAAAAAGTATGAAAAGTATGTAATCTTTGTTGAACTCACATACTTAAATACTTGTAAAACAATATTTTCTTTTAAAGTACAAGTTCTAGAAAAGAGAAAGAAACATTACCTACTGCTAGTCCTGAATCTCCTGTTCAGTTGGGTGCTGTTCCACAACAGACTAATAACCTTCCACCACCTGTTGGCCAAAGCAATGGAACTTATCAGGGAAAAATTGATATTCATAGTATGATTCCTCCAGACTGTGTATTAGACAAGACTGGAGAGCGTCGAGACAGCAGCACTGGGCCATATGACTTTAGGAGACTATTACGAAAGACCACCCATGCACCTACTGAAACTCTCCGAAGGTGTAAGGGACTATCTACTAACTCATGCAAAGAATTCTAGAGAAGCTTGTAGTTAAGAATAATTAGGGTATTTCACATGTACAAGTGTATACATGTTTGATTTTGTGAATATTTAAATAGTATCTTCCATTTTTAGTATAAAGTCAGATTATTATGTTAGTGTAATTGTGATATTACTTATCACTTTACTGTGATAAAACATGAGCTTTAATCAAAAATAGTCAATATAGGAAAAACTGCGTTAAAACCAAAGAAAAGTAGATGTATTACCTCAGATATTAAACGAAAATGGATTTGAATCAAACTAAACTTTTTTACTCAATTTGTATTGACGAAAGTGTAGTATGTTCTTTCATGCATACATTGAACTTGTCCATTGTCATAGCAGTTATGATGTGAAAAATATTATGTAAAAACCAATGTTTACTTAAATAAAACAATTAACTGTCTCTGCAGGTTATAACATAAAAGATTTTCACATTAAAAAATTTTAAGTTAGAAGTTACAATAACAACTGTAAGTCATGTATTGTTTTTGTAGGGTATAAGTATTTTTAGAAACAAATTTTGAACTTCATCCATGTTGTTCATGTTATTGGGTATCGTGTTAGAATACATTTATACAAAATAGATTACAACAAGAAAGGTATTTTGGAAATATAACATTGGTTTTTTTAAATTGTGTATACTTTAACCCAGTAACTTATGACAGGATCTACTAAGAAGTATGCTCGAAGAATTCTATTTTATTCCTTTTAATTTTGAAAGGTATTTTGTACATTTTTAGTATTGGTTTTCGATGAGAAACACATATAGAGATTTAGTAAAGGTTAGTGTAGAAGCAAGTAGTTGGTAATTACAATAAAATATTTATTTTCCGCTGTAAGATATTTATAATATCCATTAATGGTACAGTCTCCTAAGTAATCAACTGTTAAGTGGTTTAACATATATAAAATATATTCCCTTATTTTAGACAACAATCCAGTTTATTTCATTCAGAATGTTATTTATTTTAATTTATATCACTATATAAGGAGGTAGTTTTATGTTAATTTTCTTCCTTTTGTAATATGTTTTCTGTGTGTATTAATAGCCTTAAACATATATATATGAGATAGATTATTAATGTGATTGGAAAGTACAATAGAAATAGATCAAAGTGATTTTGAGAGATTATGGTCCTAGATGATTGACAATGAATAATGTGGATCCTACCTGTTACTATTGTATACTCAATAGCCATGCAAAGCAACGTACTGAAAGAAAGGGGATAAAAATTGATTTTGTTTACAGAATTTAAATGTTTTTGAATCCAGTACAAAACTGTATTAAATATTCATAATCAAGTAAGAAAAAACATTTACTTGAGGATTAATCTAGTTTTAAAGAAACTTGTTATTATTCGTCAGGTTATTTTTTCTCTATACAAATATTTGATAATACTCCACAGTTTAATTCATGTACAAACTTAACTGCTGGGCAGGAAAAAAATAGTTTAGTCAAGTAAAATAACCTTGAATTTCAACAGTTCAATTTTTTAAGATAAACTAATCTAAGAACATAAAATAACCTTCATGTCTAGACATTTAAGCTACTTTGTACAGTGTAAACACAAGATGTATATATTAAGTAACTGAGATTAATAACAATATAAATCATTACAAAGGAAGTAAATAAAATGAAAGTTTTAAAAAAGAAAACATGAAATTAGCATTATAAGGTTTTTAGCTCATAACATATTTATTTTTCATAAAGAAAAACGTGTATATAGTTATTTAAATGTTCCATGTATAGTTTTATTTTTGTTAGGTTTCTCTATCATAGATTATTTTTAATAGCAAAAATTAATTAACAATAAGCTATGATAACCTAATTACCAACACTAGAGTAAGTTCATGAAACTGCTTTGATGTTAGTTGGTATTTGACACATATGCTGACACCCACCCTACGTTAAAGGAATTTGACATTTTGACACTTTACAAAAGTAATTATAAGTTATGAAATAAAAGAATCTAAATGGACATGACATTAAAAGTTAAAAACTTTTTGGACATACTAAATTATTTGTACACTAAAGCTAAAGTAATATGGACGTTCTAGGTCAAAGCAGTTGTGATAATTGTTGAATGTATTTTTTGTATTTGTAACATTGAAAATAAGTCTCTTGCAAAATTATATCTGTGGTGAATTCAGATTAATTTCTTGGAATTAGTTTTGAATTAAACAACCAGTTTTGTTTAAACAAAATTCATTGTATTAGAAAGGTTCCTGAAAGGGATAAGAAATTGTTTAAACTCTGGTACTTATATGGTCAGGTGAAAGTCATACATTCATAATTTCCTGTAGGTGGTTTTTGGGCAGAAGTTGTTCTTTTAAACACACGTACTTTATCTTGAAAATTTAAGTTACTAAAAATGTGTTCATTTCATTATGGGTAGAATGTATCTCAACAATGAAAAGTTTCCCGTAAGTTCCCAGTAATATTCTATGAAAACTATTAATGAGTAAAACAAAGATGGGTGAGTTGTTGCTTGAGAGGTCTAGCTTGATCTTAAATTTGTCGTGATAGCTTTATAATTTATGTAAAAAGAGCTTAAAATTGGTGATCCTTCCGTTTCAATTGTATTTGAAAATTTATTATATGTGATTTGCTTATAATTCTGTAATTGCACTCCTACAGTTTTTATGATTTTCTTGGTATAAGTTTTATGTAAAATACATAAATATGATTTTACTTTTTGTTTTAGACTTTAAAGAAGTTTCAGCAACTGTAAACTTGGGTTTATTCCTTTAGTTACCCATGCATAAAGATTTAATTTCCGAACTCTTAGTAACACACTTTAATGAACAGTAAGGGAAGTAAGGTTGTTCAGTAGAAAGGGTAACTTTTATGTAGTGGTTCTCTATACCTGTAATAAAAATTAAAGTTGAGAGGTAATAATACAAAACAATGTATTGCTATAGTGTGCAGAAAATCACGTAAATATACATCAAGATATTGATTAATATAAAATCCAATTGTATCATGATTGTATTCAAAACTTTATTCAATTTCATTATAGAAAGAACATGTAGTGTTTTGTTTACTTTAATATCAGTAAGGATCTGAAAATATTGTTATCTGAATTAAGAAGGTTTTAAATTGTGAGAACAAACAAAAACTCGTTTGTTAATGGACCAAAATGTCTAAAAGAAATTCAGTTCAACTTGTTTATGTAAGCAATAAAATTTAGATTTTAGCTGTATTTTGTGTTGTCTTACAATTTCTATATTTAAATCATAAAGCAACTACGATGTCTGAAAAATATTTTACATACGAATCCAAAGTAGCGTGTGTACAGTTGAATTGATTAAACACAGTAGCATTAACGTGACCCTCATTGGCTCAGCGGTAAGTCTGAAGGCTTATAACGCTAAAAACCGGGTTTCGTTACCCGTCGTGAGCACAGCACAGATATTCCATTGAGCTTAACAACAAACAAGCAAAGCATTAAACGTGTTTTTAATATGCAGTATTTCATACAAATGCATAGGCCGCTAAGCGAATTTGAAAGTGGGGATGATCGACATATATGGTAGAATTGTGGATAGTTATTGCACGTTATTTTATAAATGACATTGGTATTGCGTGATTGTATATACTTTTATTTACTAAAGTAGCTACGTTTCATGATAAGTTTTTAATGGGAGTCTCGCCTAGCTTCTGTTGCTGATATGTGAAACTGATATATACAACAATGAAGTTATCATGGTCATTTAATTGCCAGTGACCACATTTTGTTCAAAATTGGTCTTCCGCTAGAAGTAGTATTCCAAACACCTTATAGAATAATTTATTAAATAGATAGACATCACAGAGCCCCCAGTGGCTCGGCGGTATGTCTGCGGACTTACAACGCTAGAAACCGGGTTTCGATACCTGATATTGCTCTGTCCTGATCAATATAACGCACTACTTTTCATTTAGTGTAAAATAAATTACACATTTTTGTGGAGCCAAGGGCTTAAGCCCCTGCGCTAATCTGGCCCCCTTAATGAAGACATATGTTTTTTGTTCCATGAAAAATGAAGGGGGGCTATATAGCTCCATTGGCTCCGCATTAAAGAAAAAAAAAAGCCAACGTTTAATAGTACACAATGAGTGTTTAAAAATAAAACTGTCCCCAACCTCAAAGTATAATATAAATTTTTTTTACTTAATAATTTTACTGTATAAAGATAAAACACTGTGGGATTGGGAATATTATTATGCACTATACATGTTTCAATGTGTCATGTAGAGCGTTTGAGACTGTTTGCAGTCTCATGGTATTGCATCTTTTATACAGTAATTTATCAAGTAAAGCGAAGTTTTGTATTGTATTTTGAGAACGGGGACAGTGTCATTTTTTAAATGTTTATTGTGTACAATTAAACGTTGGCTATATTTATTTAATACATCTGTGATCTGAAAACTTACACAAGTGTCGACCTAATCTTAATAACTAACACCTCATATCGTAATCCTAATAACACAGATGACATTATTATACAGATATACTTGATATAAGGGAATAAGAAAAACAAAAAGCTATAGTTTGTTGAGAATAAGTAATACAGTCGTTTCATTGTTCTAATGTTAGGGCTATAACAACGTCGACTTTTATGAACAATCAAAAAATGTTGAATCTAGCCATTTCTCTAATCTTGTCAAGTATTTATAATTTATATCATCTTTTACCAAGTAAAATACCCGTAAATTTTGAATATTTTACTCCTGGGTCCCCCCATGTTCGTAGAAGGGAGGATGTATGTGCAGTTTGGCGCAAATATATACTACTGAAAACTTATTTTGTAAAATCTAGGAAACAATTTTGTTTTGTTTGTGAAGTGCAGTGTATATAGTGGAATATTTGGTTTTGGATTATTGCATATGGTTAAGTGCAATTTTTTTTGAACCGTTGCTAATTTTTAGCCGCGGCAAAGCGGCTCATAGAATGGCTCTGAGTTTTTCAAGTACAAACTTTTAACTCATAGTTTCGTCATCTCTTGATTGATTTGAGATTTAATTACAGTTTTGGGCTCAAAAGGTCAAACTCTTTGACTGATGTATTTGACCATGCCAAAGGTCTCATAGATTAATTTCTCTAATTCTGCCTAAAAAAAATTCAATTTGAAGATAGGTTGGTAGAGATCTTGTGAATAATAAAATTAAATCGGTATACGCGCGCCCCACGCTTGGTATTGTTGGCGCACAAAAATATAGCTAATAAAAATAAAAGGACTCATAGATTAATATACTCTAATCTTGCCAAAAAGAATTTCAAGTGCCGCGGCTATTGAGGATTTCCTCTTTTTTGAGGGTGAATGGGGGATCTATCATAATACAGAAAATAATGTTTAGTTTGTGCAAATCCTCAGACCTAGCTAAATAAATTGGCAACTTATTTAAAGTTCAATTCTATTTTGTGACTATGTTGTTTTCTTCAGACAAGGTGAAAAAAAAAAGACTGCAAAACTATAATAATTGAGCGCCGTTTATCTCATTAGGATCGATTTACGAATGCCTGAATGCACCTAATGACAAAAAAAAATCCCACAAAAAACATCATTTGCCCTCTGTAACAGGTATCCAATGAAAACCACACAACTGTAGATTTTGCGCAATAATATTATTACAAGAGTAAAAAATTATGAATTTTAAAATCAGGTAGTGATTCTGTTATAAAAAGTAATGAAAATAACCACAATTATAAATGTATAAAATTTAATCATTACTTTGACCTACAAATAAGTGTATAAAGCTGCCAAAGTAGAGATTAAATTTTATAAATTTGTGATTGTGGTTTTAATTCTTGTTTCATTACTTTTTATAGCAGGATCCCTACTTCATTTTAAAATTCATTATTTTTTAATGCTCTTGTTTGTTTATTTTTTTATGTTATACCTGTATAAAGTATATACTTTACCTTTAAAAACTGTCGCGTGTCTACCCTTCGATATATAGCGCTATCCGTTGGGTTGAAAAGATATTTAAGTACGTACTTGATATATTTACCATTTATGTTATACCTATATATCTTTATATTGATTTTTATCGGAATATCAAAAAGTGGACACCCATAAAACAACAAGTAAGTTGGAGAATCTTGTAGCGATAATCCGAGTCGTCTAGGCGCTAGTCCCGGTGACATGATCACCTAGTAGACAAAAAAGTTGCTGTAACTTAGAAATTTTTGAATTGTTATACCGGATATGTAACCAATACTTTGAATGGTCGGTTTTCGCTTCAAAATTCGATAGGTTGGTCTTTCGGCGCGTGAATTATTTGGAATCCTTCTTGATCCCGAAAATTAAGTACTAAAGTACTTAAAATTAATTACAAAATGGATAGTGACGAATCTATTCAGTTTATAGAAAATAATATATATATACATTAGATACTAAATACTTTCATAATCTTGCCAACAGGACCTGGAAAGACAAAATTTTACGCTTGTTTTATTGTTCATTACAATTGAAATATAAGCAAACCAAAACACAGGGTGAAGAATTCTCTAGTTACTATTTGGCTTTAAACTAGATTATTTCGTGATTAACAGATGAGTTATGTGTAAATTGAGAAAGAAATCGTGTGTAGCTAAATTATAATAGCTTTCTTATTGTAAGTCCCACAATTCAATGTAATTCATTTTAAAATAATCACAATGTTAACTTTGCCTATTTTCATATTTCATACTTTACTTTGTACCTTAGTTCTGCAATTTCTTAAAAATCGGTTCTGTAGAATTTATTGATTTCTTTATTTATATATATATATATAAACCAATAGCTGTTATAAATACAGAAATCGATTGTTGAAATGAACTTGCGCAAAAGGTTGGGGCTTATGAAACTCTCAAAAAGCACTAAACACAGTTTTATTATATAATGAATATATATTTCAATGAAAATCAAGTAAAAATACATACCGATGTTTGCAAAACATAATATGAAATAACTGTTAATAAAAAATTAAGTAGGCAATTATTTATATACTCAAAATTCAGGAACAGACAAGTTTGCCCGAACAACCTTTGTAGCTTGCAGGCATGCTAGTTATTTTCTGCTTCTTTTATTTGAAAAGTTGTCAAGATATTTGTGCATGCCAATGTATTTAGGTTGAAAGCAGAATATCGGCCAAGAAAGTTCCTAGATTCTTTTCGCCCTACTAAACTATTGCTCTGGGTAATTTATCTACACAGTATCAATTGAACTTTCCTAAGGAAAAAAAATGTTGCAAAGTAACACTATGTAAAGGTGGGCAGCGATCTTTTCCACTTTCAGTTCAGGTGTTGTCTCTTTGATACACCTTCAGTTATTTTTCGACTGGAATACATGTAGTGACGTAGGTAGCGTGAGGAGCATAACATTGTAAAACTGTGTTTATAATACTATGATTTCTCAGTCTGTATCAGATTTTCAACTGTCCTTAGTCTTAGAATATCATTTTGATTGTGTTGAATAAAGATTGTTTTTATGTGTTTTACATTGTTTCCAGTCCATTTTTTACTCTAAACACATTTAAATTTAAGATAATTTGGGTTCATCTCTGCAAAACATTTTCTGTTGAATCTCCTATTATCTTGGTAATCCTACTCGTTTATTCAAAGGGAAATCCATGAACCTCAGAATACCACACCGATAAAACTCTTGGAACATATTCTAACCATCCAAATAAGTATTCATTACAAATTAAAAACCTATTTACCACACTTCACGTGCCCTATATTCTCATTCAATTAAAATGCTGGTGTAAAACACCCAAATCTTGTACCATTTCTCTAGACACGTCTTCCTTCGTTTTATATTTAATTAATTATTGTCATATTTAGGTCGATGAACAACAGTAAGTAGGCATACAGTTAGAAATATGAAGCTACGTGATTTGAAAATTCACCCTTCAATGTCATTTCATTGTTCTTTATATATTTACTTTTAATACTTTTTAATTCCATTTCTTTACGGGATACATATAATTTTTATTAATTGTTTACTTTTTATTTTGTGTATATACTTTTTACTTTATTGACATTATATTTTATTTCTTGTCATCCATTATTTTTTGATTTGTTTCATATCATAACTTCAATCTCTTGTGTTGATTTATGCTTTAGTTCTGTCTGTTCCAATATACTGTTACGTCTCTGGTCGTTAGTTAATTTTCCGTATAATTTCTTTTCGAAGAAACTTTAGCGATACAAGTCCTTTCTT